GGGGTCTCGACAATTTGCGTTTTGTGCAACTGTTACAACACAAAACATGTAGAAATATAGGAGCAGCTTTTGCTCGTTGCATTACCTCGAAAAGTGCCGAGTTCTGTTTCCCTCGTTCCGCTTTGCGCTCCCCCTCGTTCTTCTACGCCCTCACTCCTCATCCCGTTCGTTTCGCTCTACCCTTGCGCAGTGCATAAATATTTTTCCGAACATAGTTCCATTCCGCACAGAATCTGCACTCCGTTTACGATGTCATAGCAAATAACACTGCAGATACGGAGCCTGGAAATGACAACGTAATAACACTGGACGAATGGTGCGATTGCTTTGAATGGGCAGATGATGTGCGTCACGAGCCGCCATGCCATGCCGCGAAACACCTTCAGGATCCGCACTTGCTGGGTAAGCCTCCCCGTTAGATTATCGCCAGTAAAGTCTCGGTAACTGTGATTTGAGGTATCTTGACTCAAACTTCGTTGAATAACATGCGTAGTAGAGTAGGCTGGCACGATTGCGCTTTCTTGGGGTGAGGCTTTATAGATGCGCAGCTGATATCCACATACAAAAGCTTCTAGGCAAAATATTTTAATACGTTTATGCTCAGGTACCTCATTTTCACTATTACAACTTCGTACAAACTTCACTAAAATTTACATTGCAGGTGCTTTCCATCCACGCTGTACACTGGAAGGATACTATAAGGCAGAGCAATGTCACGAGAATGAGTGCTGGTGCGTAGATAAATTTGGTCGGGAATTCGACAATTCACGGGTAATAGGGCAGCTTCCAGACTGCGGACAATACGGTATGCTTTGGTTTGTACGGTCTGGTTTAATATCCGAATGGGGAAATTGAGTATTCCTTTGCGCGAGTGTCTAAGTATTTAACTTAGTACATTATTATTATTATCCTTATTTTCGAACCCAGGCTAAAACACACCGAGATTACTGATGCGACCACGCATTTTTGCGCTGAGCATGCAGCAATCAGATCGTTAACAGTCAGGTGTGATTCCTGTGTTGTGGTCTAAGAAAGGAAAATTGTGAGATTCGCAAAATACACTCACTTTTGGGTTAGCGATAAAACTGAGTATTTGTCACGCCTACTTGCAGGGGGTTTCGCCTTCAGGCTGAATTAAGGCCACACATGAGCACAGAATATCCCTGCAGAGTCTTGGCTTCACAGCTTGTCCGGCAAGCCAAATCACCTCCTCGCTACAAATATCTTTGAGACACCCTAAAGGATGGACTAAACGCGGTCCGAAACTCCATTTAGGTTTACGATTTCCCAGATGGGCAACAATATTCTGGCAGAATTTCAGCTATCGTTTACCGGCTATTTTTATCTGTTATTTAAAAAATAACTCATTAAATTTATTTATTTTCGAATAACTTATTTAAACTCAGTCCATCTACCGGCCACTTGAAGACTGAGTTTAATCTGTCTACGTATCTCAGAAACCAAACTCTGAAGTTCCGAAGCTGAAATTTTAGGAGAATATTCCTCGCATATGTGCGACCCCGCAGATGTAAGCTTAACCTTCAATTACGCTTGGGTACAAGCCCGGCTCCTCTGAAATTTTTGGCAAGGAAAGATTATTATCTCGGTAAATACAAAAGACAGGAAGTTGAAATTTTAGGGACGTGTCTTCTTCCCACGTGCA